AGAACTTAATCATAGGTTTGATTAAGCCTTGCTGAATTGCAATGGTCATTTATGGTGTGGTCAGTTCAAGGGACAGCGCCCACAGCTTTTCAGCATCATGAACACTATCTTAAGCTAGAGTAGTTGAGGTGTTTGTTGCAGTGTCCCTTTAAGCTCTCCTTTTATTTTCAAACCATTCACCAAAATATAACCTTTTATGCATATTAGCCACATTCTGATAGTTGTTGTTCCAAGAAGAGAACCGGGTTAAATAGTCTACGCTGCAAAATTGTAATTTGACCAAAAATCTTGATCTGCTTGAATGTACACTCCAATGTCATTTGTATGCTGCAGATCTCCAGGCCTGCTGCAAGTCTTGTCCTCCCATTATTTTCAATAGAAGTGCAGCATATGTTAAACATTTTGGTTGTGCAGCAGTGTTAATGGAATCTGTAGTTCAGATCGGTTTTCTTTTTTAACCCACAAAATGTTTCTTCTTGTGTAGTGTGTGTGTGTGTGTGTGTGTGTGTGTTTTTTTTTTTTTATCCATGGTCTGATAGTGATTTCTGTTTTTTTTGTTTGTTTTCAAAGGAGTATCAAAAACTTTTCCCTGACATTCCAATTGGTTACTCTGGTCATGAAACCGGCACTACTATCACAGTGGCAGCAGTTGCCATGGGTGCCAAAGTGGTTGAACGTCATGTGACTTTGGACAAAACCTGGAAGGGAAGTGATCATCAGGCCTCACTAGAGCCAAATGAATTTGTTGAACTGGTCCGCTCAATACGGCTTGTAGAAAAGGCAATGGGTAGTTCTGTAAAACGTCTCTTGCCATGTGAAGTGGCCTGCCACAACAAGGTAAAATCGCTAGTTTCAAAGCACAACCATGATGAGCCTGTGATGGTCGTCTTCGTATAGCTATCTCCACTGCAGTCATTTAATTGTGTATATTTACTATTTGGTCCCATAGTTTAAAAATCTATTTTATTTATTTATTTATTGTTTGTTTTTTTTTGTTTTTTTTTCACCATTGGCTTCCTGTGATTTGGTTAGGAGGCATACTTTGATATACCACTTCCTTCCTTATCTCTGCATTTGGACTATTTGTTGTTAAAAGTGCTAGGACTTTTACAATTCATGTAGTTCAAGCGTGTGCTAATGTATTTGGTCCCATAGTTTAAAAATCTATTTTATTTATTTATTTATTTTTTTTATGTGTTTTTTTTTTTTTTCACCATTGGCTTCCTGTGATTTGGTTAGGATGCATACTTTATGATATACCACTTCCTTCCTTATCTCTGCATTTGAACTATTTGTTGTTAAAAGTGCTAGGACTTTTACAATTCATGTAGTTCAAGCGTGTGCTAATGTATTTATAAACCTATCTAAAAATCTTATTCCTCCTCCAAGGTGACTGCCAAAACAGATTAACCTGGACCATGCAGTCATCACCCCAATTTATGGTGGCATCATTTTGGGAGGATAATTGAATGCAGTTATTCTCCTCTATTTCTGAAGGCCACCTTTTGTGTTGTGTGGTTTTTACTTTTTTTACTTTTTTTTTTCCCCCCCCTCTCTGTAGAGGAGTTCAGCCAACCGTTATACTTTATAAAATAACCATCTGCTACCCATTTTCCTAGAATGTGTTGGCAACCTTTGTCACTCCAGATATTGTAATGCTCTTACAGCTGACCAAGCATTAAGGGAGATGTAGGCCACTATCTGGAATGCTGGATTTTCTATCCCTGTTCTAGAACAATGTGTAGCTGATATTCCTGGCACCAAGGAAGAGTGGTTTTTCATGTTTATGGTGCAGAGTGCAAAAAGGTTTCATAAACAATGTGAAACTATTACAAATTCAGCCATTAATGTTTGCTATCATTTCAAAGACAAAAATGCTCCAAATGTAGTGTACTCCAATAAAGGGGTGCAAAAAAGTGAATAGTACAGATCTATTTAAAGGGACATTAGTCACCAGAACAACTACAGCTTAAGGGGATCCTATAGTGCCAGGAAAACAAAGCCGTTTTCCTGGCCCTACAGGTGTCCAAGCACCCTCCACCCTTCCACGGGGCAGAAGTGTTTAAAACCCTTTCAGCCACTTGCCTGAATGGGTCATGCTCCTCCCCTGTGACATCAGCAGGCGGGGGAGACTTAATGCGCATGCGCGACAATGGCCGGACGCACACTAACATTTTCCCATAGGAAAGCATTATTCAAAAAAATACATTGCAGCATTAGGTGCAATAGGTATACATCACCCAGACCACTTCAGTTAGCAGAATGGATTTGTACTGGTGAGTATAATCATTCCCTTCAGTGTTTACTTTGCCCCCTTGTGACCATTCCTCAGATGCCTATTTTAGGTGCTTCCTGGGGCAGTGCTGCACAGTAAGGAGCACTGCTGTTCAGAGTCTCCACATTCTGCACGGAGACTCTAAAATTTTCTCAGATGCATTAATTCAATGCATCTCTTAGGAGGTGCTGATTGGTCAAAACTGCATTTGGCCCCATCCTGCTTCCTTGCCGTTTTTAGCCAATCCAATGCTTTCCAAATAGAAAAGGATTGGATAAAAATCGTAAATTCTGATGTCGGCAAGGAAGCAGGGCCAGCGCTGGAAGACACGTACAGCGCTGGAAATAAGGTGAGCTTTAACCCCTTCAAAAGGGGGGTAAGCTAACTAAATGGTAGTTTAAAAAAACAAAACTATAGGGTCAGGATTAAAAGTTTGTGTTCAAAGAAAATAAATCACCTTTAGGTATACATGTTTGTATTCCTAATGCTATAGTACATACAGTAATATGTAAGGGGAACAACCACATGGGATTTGGACACATAGACAAGTTAGGCTAAATTTAGATGTTCTCATGGGGTACAGATCACAATGAATGTTTTAATGGTAGATCAGTGATTTCAAATTTCTCAACCTGTTTTAAGTTTCTAAGGAAGTCTGAAATAAAAGTCTTGTATACTTCTCTTTTCATATGGTGTCCACTTCAACCACCTTAACCACTAATGCAGGTTCCCATACTATTCATGTCTGAAAGACTTATGATCCATCCCAAAAATGTCAGTTGAAACACAATAGCAGTAATCTAAATTATATATTTTTTGAGAACTGTGGAACAGATTATGACTTACAAATGTTTTGTTTATTCTTGCAGCTTGGCAAGTCTGTGGTAGCTAAAACCAGGATCCCAGCGGGCAGCGTGCTTACCCTGAACATGTTGACAGTGAAGGTTGCAGAGCCACGTGGTTTCCCTCCTGAAGAAATTTTTGACCTTGAAGGCAAAACTGTTAAAAGGGAGATCGCAGAGGATGAATCTGTTACAGAAGAAGCAATAGAAAACTACAACACCAGAACTAAATGTTAAATGAATTGTGAGGGTATGACTGTAATCTGTGGGTTTTTAACGCTCCTGTCACCTTTATACCTTACCAATACATGTTGTGTAGAATCTTACACATGCACAGGTTGTTGGATCCTTTTGTACGGAACATTCAGTGGCATGCCAGATCGTGTTGCTGTACTAGATCTGTAATTTCTGTACAAGAGAAAATACTGTTTATTGTAAAGCTTTGAAATACTGCATGGCAATCAATGTTTTGTTAGACTTCTATTTTCTCCAGATAATGGTAAATCACAATTTGTGGACAAAACTTTTTGTAGTACGGTTTCTATAGATGCAAAAAATATCCAGATGGCTACTTTGCTATAGGTTGTGCTTCCTTGAGATGAAAATGCACTTTGTAAATTTTAAAGAATCTTGTGAAGGGTTTTTCTTGTCCTGAAGAATTGTTTTCCATACGGTTATAAATCAAATTTGAGTTGCACGTACATATTTGTTTAACCCATCTGAGCTAATATTTGCTTTTAAAATATTCTCCCACTAGCCATTTAGAACGCTTGTTTTTCAAACGAGTCCTAAAGAACAAGCACTTATTTGAACACAACTCCCTAAATCTTGAGCAGATGATGGCCTTTAATAAATGAGGAAGGCTAACCAATATCACGATTACTACAGTTTGCCTGTGAGAGCCGCTTCTACGATGCCTTTTGCATAGAATTTTATGGTTTTTGTAGGAACTACTATAGTGATCTACTGAAATTGTAACGTTTTGTTTTCCCTCACTTTATATGGCTTACTACAACTAGTTTAGGATCTGACTAGTTTGTCCATGCATGTGTAATCAAACTTACAAAGAAATCGCCTATGATTAAACCAATGGAACTTTTGTGTTGTGCAAACGTGTTATCGGTTGCAGAATCTTTTGGCCAGTTAATTAATGCATGTTAATTTCAGCCAAAATAAATTTTTATGTTTTCTGTATAAAGGTTCTGAATGGATTGATATGGAATGGTACCTAACCTATTTTTTACAGTCTTGATTCTGGCACTTTATGAATGAGGTTTTTGGATTTAAACAATGCTTTATGAAAAGGATTATGCTATTTTGGCATACTTGTGATTAAAAAGCCAAACAAAATGTAAAGTGTGTACAAATTTGTCTTTGTGTTTATATAATTTTGGTTTGAGGTTTTTCTTTTTTTGGGAAGGTGGGGTGGGGAGAACATTTGGTATTCTATACAAACAAATTACTTGAGACAGCTTCACAGACTAGATGGCAGAATCCCTCATTTACAAATATTTGAATATATAGATTGTGCAAGCTAAGTAGCTAGCATAATGAATGGGGTTAATAAGCATTAAAAATAAGTTACATCACTGGACATTCTTGCTAGCTTTTACCATGGCCTCTTTGTGATGTTAATAAAAAAAAATGCAGAATTCCATTACATTATTGCAGTAGTCGTGCTTTTTAGCCCATTAAGTGATCAATCTATTTGCATCCTAATATTTTAGGTTAGTAAATCCTTGTGTTTTGATGCTTCAACTAGGTTTAAACTGAATTTTATAAATGTTCTTTGTAGGAAGGTGCAAACATGATGATTGGTATTGCAGTATGAAAATGCATTGCAAAATATGAAAACAAACCTATTTAAAAAAAAAAAAAACTTAGTTACTGTAGAAATTTTAAGCATAGAGTTTATATGCTGATTCTTGGTTATGGATTGCAAACTGGCTTGAAGATAGAGTAGAGAGAGTATTATTGGGAAATGTTCACGCTGTATAAAGATGGTCAGTGGAGTCCTTCAGAGGTCTGTCCTGGGTACACACACGCATCTTCAACCTATCTATTAATCATGCAATAGGCTTTGAAAGTTGTCATTTTTTGTAGATGCCACAAAATTAGGTAAGGTACCCAGGACAGACCTCTGAAGGACTCCACTGACCATCTTTATACAGCGTGAACATTTCCCAATAATACTCTCTCTACTCTATCTTCAAGCCAGTTTGCAATCCATAACCAAGAATCAGCATATAAACTCTGTGAGCTGGATATTACTTCACTGAAGAGGGATCTGGACAAACTGAATTTATCCACATTAAACTTCATTAACCCCTTAACGACGCTGGACGGAAATTTTCCATCAAGGCAGACCTACCCTTAAGGACGCTTGACGGAAAATTTCCGTCAATTACTAAAGTTAACGCCAGATCGCCGCGATCGTGGGGTTAACGCTGTTGCTGGGTGCCTCGGCGTTTGAGGAAGCCCAGCAACAGCCAATAGTGCTGTCCCAGCACATGTGATCGCTGTGACAGCCAGTCACAGCGATCACAGTGCAGCTGGGACTTCTGATCCTCCTCCCTCCACCTCTGTGTGTGATTAGAAGTGGAGAGAGACGGATCGTTTGAAACTTTGTGTCCCTGACAGACACAAAGTGTTTAAAAGTTTAAAAAAAACCTTTTACCCCCTTTAACTTTAAAAGTTTAACCCTTTGATCACTGGCAGCAGTGATCACAATACTGATCACAGTACTTTACTGAGATCAGAGTTTTTTTTTAACCCTCAGGGGTTAACTTTATTTTCTTTTTAACCTTCAGGGGTTAAATATATTAAATTTTTTTTTATTTTTTTTTTACTATTATTTTCAGTTAATTAGTTAGATGGGGTGGATTGAAGCTAAGGGGAATTGGGGAATCTAGCATTAGTGTAGCTAGGAAGCTGAAAAGTTTGTAAAAGTTATTTAAAAGTTTATAAAAGTATAAAAAAAAGTGAAAAAAGGAAAGAGGGAAAAAAAAGTAGTTTATTTTAAGTCAAAGCATTTCTGCTTCGCTAGGTGTAAGCACAGTGATCTGATTCCAGTTTTTACCCACAGGGGTTCATTTTTTTAAAAAGTTTTTAGAAAGTTTTTAAGAGTTTTAAAAAAGTTTAAAAAAAGTATAAAAAAAAGTTAAGTTAAAACAAAAAAAAAAAACGTTATTTAGTTAAAGTTAATTTTAAGCTTTCACCATGCTTAGAAAGTTTAGTGCCGAGGAGGCATATAATATATTAGCAGCCGACTCAGAGGCAACCGACCCTGCCTCAGAGAGTGCAGAGGGTGACTATGTGCCAGACACAGATGAAGAAAGTGATGATACCCCTGGCGCTGATATCTGGGTGCCCCCTAACAATTTTGTCCCCGACATCCCTCTGTTCACTGCGACTCCTGGTATTCAGGGAGACGTGACCAGCTATAACTCCCAGGATTTTATGGAGCTGTTCCTTGGGGATGATTTTTTTTTTTTAGGGCAGATAGCTACACAAACAAATATTTATGCAGCGCAGTATCTGGCACAAAATGCAACAAGTCACCTTGCCACAAAAGGGAGCTGGTACCCCAGTGTGCCAGAGTTAAAACAGTTCTGGGCACTAACCATGCTAATGGGAATTATAAAAAAGCCCAGCATCCGAATGTACTGGTCCAAAAACCCAGTTGCAATACTCCCATTTTCTCTCAGACCATGAGTAGGCCCAGATACGAAACAGTACTGCGTTTTCTGCACTTCAATGATAATTCGAAGTGCCACCCCAAAGATCATCCGCAGTATGACAAACTCTATAAAATCCGCCCCCTAATTAACCATTTTAATAAAGAATTTGGCATAATTTATACTCCCCAAAAGAATATATGTATTGACGAGTCCCTAATGAAATACAAGGGTAGACTGGGGTTCAAGCAATACATCCCAGCCAAAAGATCCCGGTATGGCATCAAGCTATACAAGTTATGTGAAAGTAGCAGGTTATGTGAAAGTTTATACCTTCAGAATATATGAAGGTAAAGATAGCCACCGGGATCCCCCAGGTTGCCCTGATGTAGTTGGGACTAGCGGAAAAATAGTTTGGTATCTAATGAACCCGCTACTGAACAAGGGGTACCACCTCTACCTTGATAATTACTACAATAGCATACCCCTCCAAAAAATGCTATATTGTTTTGAGACTGTGGTCTGCGGCACTATCCGCAAGACACGCACTGGCTTCCCCAAGGCTCTGGCAGAGAAAAAAATTAAAAAGGGGGAAACTGCTGCTCTATGCCAGGACGAACTGCTGGCTCTGAAATACAGAGACAAAAGGTGTTCATACTGACTACCATGCACAGTGAACACACACGCAGGGTCGCAGTTCGTGGCAGACAGGAAACAAGACGGCTGCCTGTCTGCATTAAGCAATACAATAAACACATGGGGGGAGTTGACCTTTCTGATCAACTGCTGCAGCCATATCTGATAATGAGAAAGACCAGGGTCTGGTATAAGAAAGTGGGCATTTATTTAATGCAAATGGCTACTCACAATGCATTCATCCTTTTCAAAAAGGCAAATCCTCAGCTGAACTGTACTTTTCTTACATTTCAGTTTCAGCTCATTTCTGTGCTGCTCACTGAGTGCCACAGTGGGGAGCCATCAGCAGGGCCAAGCAGCAGAGATATTCAGACAGGTCACTTCTGCTTTCGGATACCACCAACCCCCCAAAAAAAAGACCCCCCAGAAAAGGTGCAGGCTGTGTTACCAGAGAGGCATTCGAACGGAGACCAGTTTCTACTGCCCTGATTATCCCTCTCAGCCTGGCCTTTGTATTGGGAACTGTTTTAAATTATTTCATACTCAGAGCCAATAAATTCTCAATACAATTTTTTTTTTAACCTTTTATTTAGTTAATTGGGGTGGATGATAGTTCCTGGGAAATTGGGGAGTTTAGTGCGTATGCTAGGGGTAGAAATACAAATTAAAAAAAAAAAACAACAAAAAAATAAAATAACATTGTTTTGTTAAAGTTCTTGTGTAAAAAGTTTAAAATGCTTAGGAAGTACAGTTAGAGAATTCTGACAGCGGATTCAGAGGTGACAGACAGTGCATCAGAGTTTGACCCAAAATGGGACATGGACCCAGCATGCAAATTCAAAGTTTGAAACAAACCTGAAATGGCAGAGTCTCAAATTTGCCCCTTCAACATCCACATATACCTGAGAAAGGTACACACAGGGGTATTGCTGTACTCAGACGACATAGCTGAGTGACATATGAAGCGTTATACTGACGTAGCACACCTAAGGATTGTAAACTATGCAGTAAAATCTCAAAGTATGTGTCAAAAAGGCAGAGAAAATGCTTACTACTACTAGACTTGGTACTCACTAGCGAAAAAATGATCCCACCCTAAGGTTCAAAATGGGTCTTTTGAAATACCCTGGGGTGTCTTCTTTAAAAAATGGTAGGCCTTTGTGGGGGAAGTTTGAATTCTCAACCTGTCAAATGCCCCAAAATGGGACATGGACCCAGCAGAAAAATTAAAAGTTTGAAATAGACCTGAAATTGCAGAGTCTCAAATTTGCTCCTCCAACATCCACATATACCTGGGAAAGGTACACAAGGGGGTATTGCTGTACTCAGACGACATAGCTGAGTGACATATGAAGCGTTATACTGCTGTAGCACACCTAAGGATTGTAAACTATGCAGTAGAATCTCAGTGTGTGTCAAAAAGGCAGAGAAAATGCTTACTACTACTAGACTTGGTACTCACTAGCGAAAAAATGATTCCACCCTAAGGTTCAAAATGGGCCTTTTGAAATACCCTGGGGTGTCTACTTTAAAAAATGGTAGGCCTTTGTGGGGAAAGTTTGAATAAGCAACCTGCTATTAGAACCCAAAATGAGTCATAAACCTATACAATTCTGTAAAAACTGAAATGGTCAGGTCTCCTATATGGCAGTGTAGCATCAGGAAATATGACTAAAGGCATACATTGGGGGTATAGTTTTTCTCACAGGAGATAGCTCAGCATAATTAGGGGTGTTTGATCATATTGGAACATATCAAATATACAAAATGCCCAGCACAAATGTAACGCATAAGTTAAAAATGCAAAAAATATTTTTTTACCACAAACTTTGACATATCATGGTGAAAAAATGGCGACATGTTAAGGCACAATATATGCCATATGAGATACTCTGGAGTGTCTACTTTCACAAATGGTAGGCCTTTTTGCGGTTTTTGAAACAGTCAAACTGCTATAATGGCCCAAATTGAAACATAAGCCCTGCAAATCCGTCTCTCAAAATTCTACTCTAAAAACTGAAATGGTCATGTCTCCTTTATGGCACTGTAGCGTCACCAAATAGTGTCAAAGACATACATTGGGGGTATTGTTTTACTCAGAAGACTTAGCTGAGCATAATTAGGGGTGTTTGATCATAGTGGAACATATCAAATATACAAAATGCCCAGCACAAATGTAATGCTTAAGGAAAAAATGCAAAAAATATTTTTTTACCACAAACTTTGACATATAATGGCGAAAAATGGCGACATGTTAAGGCACAATATATGCCATATGAGATACCCTGGAGTGTCTACTTTCACAAATGGTAGGCCTTTTTGCGGTTTTTGAAACTGTCAAACTGCTATAATGGCCCAAACTGAAACATAAGCCCTGCAAATCCGTCTCTCAAAATTCTACTCTAAAAACTGAAATGGTCATGTCTCCTTTATGGCACTGTAGCGTCACCAAATAGTGTCAAAGACATACATTGGGGGTATTGTTTTACTCAGAAGACTTAGCTGAGCATAATTAGGGGTGTTTGATCATAGTGGAACATATCAAATATACAAAATGCCCAGCACAAATGTAATGCTTAAGGAAAAAATGCAAAAAATATTTTTTTACCACAAACTGACATATAATGGCGAAAAAATGGCGACATGTTAAGGCACAATATATGCCATATGAGATACACTGGAGTGTCTACTTTCACAAATGGTAGGCCTTTTTGCGGTTTTTGAAACAGTCAAACTGCTATGATGGCCCAAACTGAAACATAAGCCCTGCAAATCCGTCTCTCAAAATTCTACTCTAAAAACTGAAATGGTCAGGTCTCCTTTATGGCACTGTAGTGACACCAAATAGTGTCAAAGACATACATTGGGGGTATTGTTTTACTCAGAAGACTTAGCTGAGCATAATTAGGGGTGTTTGATCATAGTGGAACATATCAAATATACAAAATGCCCAGCACAAATGTAATGCTTAAGGAAAAAATGCGAAAAATATTTTTTTACCACAAACTTTGACATATAATGGCGAAAAAATGGCGACATGTTAAGGCACAATATATGCCACATGAGATACCCTGGAGTGTCTACTTTTACAAATGGTAGGCCTTTTTGCGGTTACTGAAACAGTCAAACTGCTATAATGGCCCAAATTGAAACATAAGCCCTGCAAATTCTTCTCTGCAAATTCTACTCTAAAAACTGAAATGGTCAGGTCTCCTTTATGGCACTGTAGCGTCACCAAATAGTGTCAAAGACATACATTGGGGGTATTGTTTTACTCAGAAGATTAAGCTGAGCATAATAAGGGGTGTTTGACCATAGTGGAACATATCAAATATACAAAATGCCCAGCACAAATGTAATGCTTAAGGAAAAAAATGCGGAAAATATTTTTTTAACACAAATTTTGACATATAATGGTGAATAAATGGTGAACCGTTAAGGCAAAATATATGCCATATGAGATACCATGGAGTGTCTACTTTCACGAATGGAAGGCCTTTGTGTGGTCATTTGAACAACCAAACTACTATAATGCCCCAAAATAAGACATAGGTCCATTAAATCCATCTTTGAATTTTCTAACTGTAGAAACTGAAATAGTCTGGCCTCTTATATTTCATTGTAGCTTCCCAAAATAGTGGCAAAGACATACAATGGGGGTATTGTTGTACTCAGCAGATGTTACTGAACACAAAATGGGATTTTGACCAGGAATAGCACACAGCAGCTTTACAAAATACATATTTAAAAAACCTTGTTACATGTGTGTATTTCAAAAAACACAAAAAACACAATTTTACTACAATATGTAGCAGAGATTGGTGGACAAAAGGCTATGTAAAAAGTGTCAAAATACCCTTAAATAAATAGCCTGTGATGTCTTCTTTATTTAAATATATACTTTTGTGTAGCAATTTTGTTTTCTGTGACAGCTGTCAAACATACCAACTTCTACATTTTTTTCACATTTAAATTTTATATTACTCCTTGTATTTTGTGACCTGTAACTTTTAAAATAAGCTGAAATCCTTTACATATTATGAACTTTGAAAAACAAGAAACCTAAATGAATTTATTTTGAATTACTTTTCCTAAGCTGGACATATTATACACACACTATTATTGCCAAAACTGTGAAAAATATATATATATTTTTTTATTTTTTTAATGTTTTTTAATAACAAATTAGATTTTATATATGTATGTCACATCAAAGTAAAGCCCATCTTGTCCTTTAAAAAACGATATATAATATGTGTTGATTCAATAAATGAGAGCGATGCAAATTGCAGTTGAACACAAACAGCAAAAAATGCAAAAATAGCTTGAGTCCTTAAGGGTATGTCCAGCTTCTGAAGCTGCGTCCTTAAGGGGTTAACCACATGGCTGACCAGTTTCCAAAGTTTTGTAGAATGCACAAACAACTTCTTCACTAAATGGTAAATGAAAAGAATTTGTGATTTTTGTATCCAATTGAGAATCTATAGGTTCAACAGTTAGAATTCTAACTGATCTGTTGAACCTGTGGATTCCCTATTCCATACTATTGCTTGGAAGTTGGGGGCTTCCACCACAGACTACCAGGTGGTGCATTGGTTCCAACACCTATTCCCCAGGTGTGCCACACAACTTTGTTAAGAATTTGTGAATAGTTATGGGCAACAATGTGCACTTTAATGTATAAAAATGACAATATAATTTTGCCTCTGTATGAATAGTAAGTTCCCACATTGAACACGTGTACTCTCTTGAACTTTTGTTAGAGATTCATTTTGTAGCCTGCTTCTCCATTAACATAAGTCGAATGAAAGCTATTTTAGTTAAGAAGGAAGGCAAGACAACTTGACCTTGTTTACCATAGATAAAAGATGGTTCATAGATTCTACTGACTAGAAGGCCAGTAGAAACCGCTCTGGTAACCTGGTAAGATTTTGCTTATGGCAGAGTATATACTTCTTCATAGTAAGCATAAAATCATGTCAGATTGTGTACTTTATATTTTTTTAACCTGATATCCAAGGATATAACTTTTTGTTGATACAAGGAGAAATCTGCAATTTTGGAGGTTTTTTTTTTGTCAGTTTTCAAATTGTGTTTAACTTAAGTTTCAATGTTCTGTTTTCCATGCATCCTGCCTAGAAATATTGAATCCATTGGTGTGTGAGGACCTTCTAAAATTGAAATTCTTAAAAATGAATAGTCCTGAAAAATACTGTTTTTAAAATGTTGAAAATAATCCATCCCTAGTCACCATATCTGTAGCTTAATGAATCTGTTTATAATGTACAGATCATGTCCTTGCAGTCTCACTGCTAAATTCTCTATTTAGGAGTTAAATTACTTTGTTTATGCAGCCCTACCTACACCTTCCTGCATGTGACTTGCAAAGCCTTCCTAAACACTTCCTGTAAAGTGAGATCTCAGAGTAAGAGGGGATGTGTGGCTCTGACTGTATAAACAAACAAGTTATTTAACTTCCAAATGGCAGTGAACTGAGCAGTGCGACTCCAGAGACATGATCTATACACTGCAACTCCCTGAAGTAAAAAAAAAAAAAGTACTTTGTGCATTGATCTAATCTAACAATGTTCAATTTTGAATAATGCTTATCCCATAAACAATATGTGGATATGGCAAATTAATTTTGTACATAATTTAAGAGGGGGAAAAAAAATATCCAGCTGTTACTGTGGCTAGTACAGCAGAGTGATATACACTATAATCTAAAGAAATATAGCTGGCAAATTACTGAAGGGTCACAAAATAACGTGCAATATATAATAAATACTTGAAATATAGTAGCAAACGCAAGACAAACCAAAGAAATTCTGTCTAATTAGATGGGGTAGAAGGTTCCAGATAGATATCTATTAAAATTCTTAAATATATATTATATAATCTCTCGACAGGAGCGGAGTTATTGCCAGAAGAGTTTCACGATGTGCCATCCTTAACACAACGCAAGGGGAGAGAGATCTGATAATGTGACAGGGAATAAGTGGTGGAGCAAGACGAAAGTAGATTCCTTTAGACACCAACTCTGTAACTGGGGAAATGCATGAAGGGTTGGAGAGCAACTGCCTTAGTCAGGTTGAAAGAGGGATGGGTGGGTGGCAGGGGAGGTGCAGTAGGGTGAAGCAGAGAGTTGAAAGTATCAGACACCTGCGATGGAGTATGAGTAGGATTATGGGGAAGAGTATGATTGTTTAGCAAGGTAGCGGGATGTTCTGTAGAAGTGTAGCATGAATTTGTAGTTAAACACGTATTTCTGACCCTATGGTGTTAAAAACACCATTCCCCCCGTCCTCAATATCTTACTTTTATTCCAGCCTACTGCCTATGACACTTATCTGACTTCTTGACTGACAGAAGTGGTGATCTGAGCCAATCAATGCATTCCCATAGTAAAACATTGGACTGACTAGCTTGTCAAGGAGGCAGATCAGGGGCAGTGTCAGCACAAACCAAACACAGCATCTCTAGCAGCCATCTGAGGAGTGGCCACTTAAGGTGTCCCTAGGCTGTAATGTAAAAAGGGCATTTTCTTGGAATACAAATTTTATGGAAAAAGCCTGCAGGGAATGATTATACTCACCAGAACAAATACAATACGCTGTAGTTGTTCTGGTGACTATATAGTGTCCTTTTTAAAGTCTAACAAGTTGCGAATATTCCTTCTGCAGTTTTCAGCTGGACAGGAGCAATAGTAGCAGGTCAACTGTGTGTCATGGGTTGAGGCGTGTTTGATTTGAAGTGTATGTTATGAGTGGGACTGCAGAGGTAAGGGTAATGTTGTGCAAGAAGATAAAAAGACCGGAGAGAATAGAGATCAGCAGTCAGTTTCTGAAGGTCAAAAGAATTAAGAGGGCTAGGCTGAGGATGTTGGGTGAGGGTGCTATTATGAACAAAAGATATGAGGGGGGTGATCTGAGATTAGAGGTCGTGCATTAATCTGAAAAAATGAGGCAAAGGATATTGTGGGTCGGAAATAGCTAACTGGGATTGCTCGAGGGAGAAAGTAATAGAAAAGAATGTGTTTAGTGAGAGTGCCAGGACCCATCAGCACCCAGGTAAAAAAAAAAAAAAAATAGTCAGCCGTACTGACAAGTTATTATAAAAGACACTCACAAAAGAGAAAATCTGCAGATTCCAAATGCAAATTAGACCACAGCATGCAAATTCATTGTTAGAACAAAATATTTAATTTTACTTTTGTATCGGTTAAATTTTTTTTTTAGTGCATCATGTTAAAGGTCATGTGCTAAAAATCTTATTTAATATTGGATGTGTATTTGAAACTCCTAAACCTGGCAAATTTCCACACCAAGAAAAAAAATCAAAAAGAAATTACATTTGTTTCTTAATTTTCAAAGCTAAAACATTTGCTTGGTTTAATTAAGTCGGCACATACTTATTAATCCATCCCAAAGTCTCAGAGCTTGGTAGACTGGCTCAATGAATCTACAGCGAAATGTATGAATGTGCTTCATGCCAGAACGGACATCAAAAAAAGAAAGGATTCCAGCTTCATAGTTCAGGAAAATGCCAATTCTTTCTGGATGGTTATTCATTCTTAGCGGTGTTCTCTCTCCTTTGTGGAAGGCCCAGTATTCATGATCATACCGTTTAATGCACCACGAGCCGCTGTTCCAGCCTAAGCGACTGAACTCTGAGTCTCCTTTCCTTTGGATTGACCCATAGGTGATCCCAATCCACCATCCTTGTCCCGCATGAAGAAGACTCACCTCCCAATAATGGCTGCCCGATGCATAGGAGTCTCTGCTAATTACTTGTAAGAGTTTATCAAATCTGTGAGGGTGACCAGCATTAAATTTCCCAAACCAGGCACAATGTACTGTGAGAAGGTCTTCTGACATCCTCAGTCGTGGATGCATAGTGTCAGGGTCTAAGGTTGGACACCTGCCATCTGTAATGAAATTTACATAAAATGATCTTGAATTTATTTTTCAATTTAAACTTGAACTTTAATACACCCAGTGTGGGCAATCAACATTTTCATGCTAGATTAATAAACTCTTCAGAAATAAATGGTCAAAATCGTCTCTCTTCTCCTGCACTAGGTTACTTCCTTAAATGAAAATAACAAAAAGAAACCAAATAACCGTGCGTAAGACTCCAAGTAGGGGTAACCCACAACAATTCAATTAGAGTACAAAAAGGGCATAGAAGTCCAAAGCTGGAGATCTCTCCTATAGCTAAAATAATGGAAGAAAAACGTTCTTAGAATATGTAACAATTGAAAAAAAATAGAGTAAGACAGTACATATGCACATTAAAAAGCCATGAGGCTGTGGTGCATGATGGGGGTTAAACACTAGGTTTATATTTAAGAATATACATATACATATAAGCCAACCATTTCACAGAAGGAGCAATTCCCCAGGGTCTTGGGCAGGGATATCCCCAGATGCCACAAAAAGACAGATAAAAGTTCTCACAAAAATGGATTTTAGACTTATTTGAAAAAACGACCACTAGAGACCGCTCTTCTGGATATACCAGGTGGAGTGAAAAAATATATAAAACTTGTGTGCAATGTATAACCACAATAATATTTAGAATAGTACATTCTCCATTAAAGAGAAAGAAACCGGGCCCCAATAGACATATTTAGATAATATGCCCGCAAAGTTGTTTAAAATAAATCCTGCCTAATACAAGACTAGATGTACAAAAATCAACTATTAGGCATAATACTAAAGAGACCCATTTAAGAATCTGCCACAACAATATTTGATTAACGAATACTCCAGATATGAGGATAAGTGAGAGGAACTAGAACGTTTTTTTTTTAGTTAGTCTGCCCTGACATGACCCAGACCAAGGATCAACTGTGGCGCTGAAACGCACGTCGCCTCTTTTGCTTCACATTTATTTCACTTATGATTTGAGCACTTTTTGATTCACTAGATTGGTTGCTGATGGGGTAACTCCTTAATGTTACTGAGAGAAAAAGTAAACGGAACTTGCTGGGGCAGACTGACTAAACAACTTTACTTCCTTCCTTTACTTCCTTAACCCATTAAGGACGGCGGGCGTGCTATGCCGTCCTTGGGGACCCGGCTCTAAATGCCAGCGGATGGCAAAGCACGTCCACGCCGTCATGGGGACTTACCTACTCGCTGGCTTTCCCCTGACGGTGATCACGATGGGGGAGACTTGCCTGGCAACCCAGGGAGTCGACCTGCGTCTGATCCGGCCAGGGTCGGCCTTAGGGGTGTGCGAGCTGTGTGACCGCACAGGGTGCCATGAAGCAGGGGGCGCCAGTATATATAAAAAATAATAATAAATTTGCGGCGGGGGCAGGGCTTACTTGCAGTGGGGGTGGTGCTTACTGTGCAGTGGGGGCGGAGCTTAAAGTGCTGTGTAACTGCTGCAGGGGAAGCAGGAAGGAGTCCCTGCTTCCCCCAACAACCAGAATCCAGGAGCTGCACTGCCTGTCTGCCTCCACAAGGAACAGAGGTAACTATGTGTGATTGTCTGCCTGTGTGTTTGACTGTCTGCCTGTGTCTGTGTGACTGTCTGCCCTTTTTTTTGTGTGTGTGTGTCTGACTGACTTTCTGCCTGTGTGTCTGCCTGCCTGTGTGTAAGTGACTGTCTGCCTGTGTGTGTGTAACTGTCTGGGCAGACTAGATGGGCAGAATGGTTCTTATCTGCTGTTGCATTCTATGTCTGTGTGTGTGTTTGGCTGTCTGCCTCTGTGTGTGGCTGTCTGCCTGTGTGTTTGTGTGTGCGGCTGTCTGTGTGTGACAGCCTGTGTGTGTGTGTGTGTGTGTGTGTGTGTGTCTGTCTGCCTGTGTGTGTGACTGCCTGTGTGTGACTGTCTGGGCAGACTAGATGGGCCGAATGGTTCTTATCTGCCATCACATTCTATGTCTGTGTGTGTGTGGCTGTCTGTGTTTGACTGCCTGCGTGTATTTGTGTGATATACTTAGATCTTATATATAATATATATGATCTAAGTATATATATATATATATATATATATATATATACATATATAAACACACATACATACGCATACACTGCCTAAGTGTATTTTAATTATATATATATATATATATGTGTATATATATTTATTAATATCAAAATACACTTAGAATGATATTAATTAAAATTTTATATTTATTTATATATAAAAAATAAATATATAAATACGTTAAAAATGGAAAAGAAATTTACAAAATATATATGTGTAATTTCGTTCTAACTGTATTTTGATAGTAATATATATATTGATATCAAAATACGCTTAGAACTAAATAATATATATCTATATACATAAATATATATATGTATATATCAATATATATATATATATATATATATATACACACCTATAAATAAAAATAATGTAAAAATTATATATATATATTTTAATTCTATGTATATATTTATGTAATATTTTTACATAACTAAGTCATTTTATTAATCACAATTTGCGGGACCTGCCTGATAACCCAGGCAGAAAGTCCAGAGAATTTAATTTGCTAGCACTTTATTTAACCCTGTAACTTTCCAAGACACCATAAACCCTATACATGGGGGGTACTGTTTTACTCGGGAGACTTCGCTGAACACAAATATTAGTGTTTGAAAACAGTAAAATGTATTACAACAACGATATCAGAAAAAAAATGCAGTCTTTTGCATTTTTTCACACACAAACGGCACTTACACTGACGATATAATTGTTGTGATACATTTTACGGTTTTGAAACACAAATATTTGTGTTCAGCAAAGACTCCTGAGTAAAACAGTACCCCTCATGTACAGGTTTTATGGTGTTTTAAAAAGTTACAGAGTCAAATATAAGGCTTGTGTTTCAGTTTTTTCATTGAAATTCGCCAAATTGGATACGTTGCCTTTGAGACCGTACGGTAGCCCAGGAATGAGAATTACCCCCATAACGGCATGCCATTAGCAATAGTAGACAACCCATGGTATTGCAAATGGGGTATGTCCAGTCTTTTTTAGTAGCCACTAAGTCACAAACACTGGCCAAAATAGGCATTCAAATTAGTTTTTTGCATTTTCCACACAGAAACAAATATTAACGCTAACTTTGGCCACTGTTTGTGACTAAGTAGCTACTAAAAAAGACTGGACATACCCCATTTGCAATACCTTGGGTTGTCTACTATTGCAAATGGTATATACATAACAAAAAGTGTCAGCGCAATTTTAGAAAAAACTCAGTTAACTTTTCTGAGTAATCTACCAAGCTTCTGTGGTGAAAACACACAAAAAAATATATACATATATATTCAGTGATGAAATAAAATATGTTCAATCACTGCAACAGAAATCGCAGTATATGTTACAATTTATGTTCTACCAAAATAAATCAATTTTGATGTCCCAGAGTCCTATAAAGATGGTAGATGAGGGGGTGATAATGCCACACAGAACTGGATCCAGAATCTTTGTATATGTTATCCGCAACAGTATACACCGTATCTTAAAAAGGATACATAAAGATCTACATA